TTTACTGAGGGTACATTCAATTCCCTCATCCAGGTCATTGATAAAGATGTTAAACAGAACTGGACCCAGCACTGAGCCCTGGGGAACCCCACTGGTGACCAGCCTCCAGCCGGATTTAGTCCCATTTACCACCACTCTTTGGGCCCGGCCATCCAGCCAGTTTTTAACCCAAAGGAGGGAGTGCCTATCCAGGCCAGCAGTTACCAGTTTCTCAACCAGAACACTATGAGAAACTGTATCAAAGGCTTTACTGAGGTCAAGGAAAACTACATCAACCAGGCGGGTCACCCCATCATAGAAGGTGATCAGGTTTGATTGGCAAGACCTGCCTTTCATAAACCCATGTTGACTGGGCCTGATCACCCAGTTAACCTGTATGTGCTCATTAATAGCACTCAAGATAACCTGTTCCATGAACCTGCTATTCATCACTGGCACTGGAGTTGTGCCTTGCCTTTGCTCTGTATTCACTTGCTTACTTTGTCAGCAAAAAATTGGCAGAACGATGCCACTAAAGTAATAGCATATGTGTTGCACTGGGAACCCAGGGAGTGTCCAATGGGAAGACAAGTAGAGTTGTGTGATGAATAAATGCTGGCTCTTCAGGAAAGACAGGCATCCTTTTGATGAAGGAGCTGTTCAAATATATGGAGCTCTTCTATGGAATTGGCAACAGGCTGGTTGAGCTTGTGGGTCAGGATCAGGGGAAAGGCCAATAAGTGTCAAAAGTGTGTTTGTTATGGACCATCCAAACTGGATGAAATCTAAGCAACCTGAGGAAACCTTCAGATCACAGTGCAGCTTCTTACAGAAGACTTCACCCTCCTTGATATCTGCTGAAAGGACAATACAATGGTATGAAAGCAATCCAAAAAGATTCCTGGAGCAAGTCAGCAACAGCTTCTTAACACAGATGGCAGATGAGCCAAAGGGGTCATGCTTTTCTGCTACTTACAGATGAGAAATAACTGGTCAGAGATGTGATAATCAATAGTAGTCTTGGTTGTGCAGATCATGAAGTAGTTCAAGATCCCATCCTGTGTAGTGTACAGACCCTACACCTCAGGAGAGGAAACATGAGCTTATTCTGGGAACTAGGTAGGTAGGACCCCATGGGAGACAGCTCTGGAAAGCAAAGAAGCTTGAGAGAGCTGGCATGCCTTTAAGGACAACCTCCTCTAAGCACAAGAACAGTCCATTCCACTACTCAGGAAAACAAGATATATCAGGAGTCTGGCTTATCTGAACAGGTAACTCATGACAGAGCATTATACAAAAAGAGACATGACATATGACATAACTCATGACAGAGAAGATGTAAAAAAAGTGAACCTGCAGCCCTTGCAGTACCTTTGCATAGCTAAATATATATATAAACAGTGCTAGTATAGTGCTACCCAACACTAAAGATTTGTGAATCATTTAGTTTCTGGTAGAAAGAAGGGAGGCTCCGGTACCTTCTGGCAGAGCTAGGTAGGCTTCATTTTACAAAGGATAAGGCAAAGTAGATGTGTTCCCCCAAGTACACCTGGGATATTCAGAAATTATTTTTCCTCCCAGAAACACAATCCTGCCACATCCCTTACGGGATAGTTTACCACTCCTGACTAGTCCAATTTTTGTGTACGTGTTAGCACTATTCACTCTCTGCTGTGGCATGCAACGTTCAGCAAAAATCAGGATACAGGAAGACTGTTCAAAGAAAGTATCTAAGGAATGTGTTTCAGAATGTAGAATCTGACACTATATAAAAATGTAAAATAGCTTGCTGTCATTAACAGGTTTCAAACTCCTCACTCAACCATCAGTTCTTGTAAGTAGATGTTTCGGTTTCTGGATTCTGTTGTCTTCCAAGGTTGCAAAAGAAATTGAAGGGAATTGTTTATATGTTTTGCTCAGGCCACAAAGACAATCACACTTGATACTTCTAAGAACACAGTGATTTAAGATTTTATTGCTCAGTTGGCACAAAATACCATTTCAAGTTGTCTTTGCAAATGTAATACATTATGGATGACAGGCACATACAAGAAACTTCTTCCTTACCCTTACAGGATTATGGTGTTACACCAAAATACGTAACACGGAGAAATGAAGAAATGAAGAGAGCTGAGAAAGAATATGAGGCTGCTGTCCTGGAGCATCTCAAGAAAAGAGCCATGAAACGGCTATCTGATGAAGAAAGGAGCAGTCTTCTGCAGGTGCATATTTTGATTTAGTGTAATTAGTAACATGTACAAAAGATTAAATAAGGTAATGTAAGTCCATATAAATAACAAAAGTATACTAGATTTTTTAAGCAAGGCAAATGAGTTAGCTACTTTTTCACTAGATGGAGCTGTAGAACAGTTGTAAACTGAACTGAAGGGAGCTGATCTAGCTACAGTTTTCGTCCACTTTTACAAGTACTTCAATTCTGTTAGATTCCTATTCCACTTAATGGCTTGGAATTTCAGTGAAACTTCAAAGGAATGCAGAAAATCACTTATATGGATTTAGTGACAGTTCTGACTCTGTACTTGTGAATCATGCTTTTTTTTTTTTCTCCTGACGCATAACATTGCCACTTCTATTGGCAGTTTCTGTCTTCATATTGTGACCTCATTGACTAAAGCATAAGGTCTGCTTTAAAATGTGGCAAAACCAGAATTATATTGCAATATTTTCTCAAGCTGCTTTGGATACTATCTTTCACACAGTTTTTATTGCACAAGATTTTCTAAGGAGAAATAATACCATAAAAGAAGTAGCGCAGAAAAAAAAGACGTTTTAAAAGTATATCCCATCCTTGAACTGGAATTTCTCAGGACCACATTTTAGCCAAATTTCCTACAAAAATGAGCTTACATTACTGTGATAACTGTTTATCAATCTGTCCCTTAATACCTTGATTTTAGGAGCCACTTGAAACAAATTAGCAGATGAATGGACATCTCCAAGGTGCTAAATTCCCACAAAAAAAGCCAGCAGAATATCTAGAGAGAAAACAGTGTCTAGCTCACTTGCAAAGATGAACTGGTTAATCAGCAAGATCCAAAATAGCTAGCACAATGGTGTCTGGCTTACGCAGCAAGCAGTAGAAGCTAGGAAGGAGTATGGGAGAGAGGTGAGGCTATTGCATTGACAGCACTATAAAGAACATAACTGCAAGGGTGAAGATTAAGATATTTTTATGGTGGGAAAGGCATGGGACAAGCTGATGGTCCAGCAAGTTAACTATGCAGGAAACATATACATGCAAAAAAGCATGTGAATTTAGCTACTCACAGTTCTGCATTTAGTTTGATTAAAATTATGGTCTATATTTTTAAAATATGAGAGTGCACTGAAATATTTCTTAATTAAAAAGTTTTTCGTTTGTCTTTATTAACTCAGTATTTTCTTCTAAATTCTTCAAAAAAGTTTGCTCTTTCATGGGCCAGGTTACTTACACAGCTGTATTGTCAGGAGGAATTAGTGTCCCCAGGGTTTGTGGCTTCTACCCAGTGCTCAGCTGTAGACATAGGGGAATTCCTGTCTTTCAAAGTAACTGACATTGCTAGTGAACACATGTGCACTGTCTGATTCGAAAGAATACGTGGCAATAGATGTCTGAGAAATAAATCAAGCCTCATGAACTTAGAAAAATAAAGGGAAATGATTTGTGCCAACATTTTTCGAACTCTCCATTATGCTTACTTTGGTTGGGATTTTATGAGAATAAGAGAGAATGTTGATAAATGCAGTACATATTTCTCACTGACCCGGCATGTATTAGAATTCCTTATATAGAGTTAGATACTCAGCTTGTGATCTAGCCCATAGCAATAGTGTTCACCATATAACACTGCTGCTGGAAGAGCTGTGAGGGATATTTGAATACTCTGTTCGGTTTTGAGCCCCTCACTACAAGACGGACATTGAGGTGCTGGAGCATGTCCAAAGAAGGGCAATGAAGCTGGCGGAGGGTCCAGAGCACAAGTCCTACGAGGAGCGGCTGAGGGAACTGGGGTTGTTCAGCCTGGAGAAAAGGAGGCTGAGGGGTGACTTTGTTGCTCTCTACAGCTACCTGAAAGGAGGCTGTAGTGAGGTGGGTGTTGGTCTCTTCTCCCAAGGAACAAGCAATACGACAAGAGGAAATGGCCTGAAGTTGCACCAGGAGAGGTTTAGACTGGTTATTAGGAAAAATTTCTGCAGCGAAAGGTTTGTCAAGCATTGGAACAGGCTGCCCAGGGAAGTGGTTGAATCATCATCCCTGGAGGTATTTAAAAGACGTGTAGATGTGGTGCTTAGGGACCTGGTTTAGTGGTGGACTTGGCAGTGCTAGATTAATGGTTGGATTTGGTGATCTTAAAGGTCTTTTCCAACCTGAATGATTCTATGATTCTGTGATCTGCTTTTGAGCTCTCCACTCTGTATGGATACAGTAAATTGTGATGAGTGTATGCTCTAATGTGTTTTAAAATTCACTGTTTTCAACGATTTCCAAACCAGTTTTACTAATGTATACAAAGAAGAATTATTTAAAAGAAGCTATGAATGACTCTTCTATAAAAGTTTTGGAAATACAGTATTTATTTTCATTACTATATATTTGTAAATTATACCTGACACCTGGTAGACCAGGAGCTTTATTTGAGTACTTTACAGCCTTGGACTGCAAAGAGAAGTAGCATTACAATACAGTAAATAAATAGCCTTGTTGCTCTAATTTTCACATGTTGAGGTAAGGTTTTTAAATTTATGCAGATATTTGTATATGAAGATTGCTGGAATAACCTTTATGGACAATGCTTAGATGCTTAACATGAATGTGCAAAAAGCATGAATTGCTATGCAATAAATACCCTGCTTTGAATTAGTAAAATATTAGTTCATATTAAAAAGTATGTTTTGCTTAGCCAGTATCGGCAGGGAGAGGTTTGGGTTTTTTTTCTGGTAAATCAATTCATACACTGGACAAAATCAGACAAGTTTTTAAGCACAAGAGTCCTTGAGTTCTGAAATAGAAGCAAAAATCTTCAAAGCTAAATATGTATTAATTCCTCTAAATTTAATTTCAGTACGTAAATCAGCCAATCTAAGAGAAAAGGTGCTTAATAATAGTGATGAAGAAGGACATGAGGTTGGAAATCACAAAGTGCCATAAAATCAGTGCATCAGTTGAATCTGGTTTTAGTTATGGAGGAGAGTTGAAACTTTAGTTCCCAAGAGAGTAACTTCAGTTCTTCATTTTTGAAGATACTTTGTGATCTCTTCTAAGGAAACAGAAGTGAGAGCCAAAAATGTTTTGGAAAAGTGTTTTCTCCCTGATAGCCGTATTGTATTATTTACTGACGGCTGTGCGAGTTCCTTGTAGTAAGTGTGAGTATTAAGTTCACCCATGTAGTTTTCACGAGGACGTCTGATGCACTGAACAAACTCTACTAAATCCTCATACATGCATGTACAGGAAGTGTCGATTTTGATTATCCTTTTGAGAAGAGAAGGTAAGAACAATTGTTGCAGTAATTGTGAGGATGTAAAGACAAGTTTTAAATTTTGGTTTTCTACCACAGTCTGGTTCCATTCAGCATATATTGGTGGATAAAACTTTGTCTCTGATTTTGAATTAACAGGTTTATGAGTATGTTTCAGATGATTGCATGGGATTTTTTAGGCGAGGTTTTAGTCTTGGGCTTTTATATATGGAAGATACAGTTCACTTTATCTAGTAAGGTAATTCTTTGCATAGCAGCATTCAAGAGAGGTAGCAGTTATTGAAATTATTGTCGATAGGGTTAGCAACAGCTAGATTTTTTGGTCCAAATGATAAATAAGTTGCCTACAGATGCTATTGTAAACGTAGCTTAGGGAGGGAATGCAACTATTCAGAATTTTTTCAAAGTAGTTCATAGAAGTTGAAATATTTGGGGATCAGTTTGGTGTCCATGGTTTGGGCAAAGTCTCAATTATGGAAAATGAAGCTGGTGGTGAGATGAACTGAAACTGCCGCTGACTTTTGGCTGGAGTTCCAAGTATCGGTACCATTGTGATTACTTAAGGTAGGTAATACCACTGTGTGTGATGTGGTGATACCCGTGGTACCCAGGTTGCTGTTCGTGGGGAAGTGGTTTCTGCACTGCAGTTAGTAAGATAATTCCCATTGCATTTTGGAGAAAAGAAGGCATTTGAGTGATAGGAGTTTTGAGGCAGCTTTTATGAATCCTAGCAGTTTCTCAGCGAGCATATTAGCATTAGATATAACGGAGCAATTGAAGTTGCCTACCTGTAGATCAGTGAAAGCACAGAAAGTCTCTCATATAGAGTGAGGAAGAGTCACCCTTCATTGACCTTGTGCAGTTTTTCTTGAAGGAACTGAGGACTAGAAATTAAGCGTACAGGCTTCCTTGAGTTCCTGGGAGGCTACCGAGCTGACTGTTAGTCACGTTGGCATACGTTTTTTCAGTTTAGATTTTCTGTAGCCCGTCTTTCATTCGCTAGTTTAATGATTTTTTTGTTGCCTCTTAAAAACTGCAGTTTTTTCTCTGCAAGGCAGTTTTTTCTCTCCAAGGCACAGAGTTTTTTAAAGACCATCCCTTATATTGCATCCGAATGAGTCAAAATTATTTCTGTTGCAACTGCTTTGACTTTTAACCATTTAATTAATTTTGTCCAATTAAGATGATTAAACATTATTCATATATTTATCTATTATTGTAACATCGCAGTGACACTCATCAAATGCAATATTAACGAAAACTCTAAGTAGTTTATGTGCATATTATCAAAATGAAGTAACTTTTTCTCATATATTTCCTTTTCATGTAATGGCACTAGGGGCTGAAAAAGAACTGGGACGAAGTGTATCGAGAATTTCAGGGTCTTTCGGTAGAAATAGACACCATACCCAAGAGGATGTATAAAGAAAAGCTGGAATCACAGATGAGACAACTGGAGCATGACATAGAAGTAATTGAGAAGCACAAAGTTATCTACATTGCAAATGAGTAAGGACTGTTTTTCAGATGTTGCCTCTTCCTTCGTTTCCTTTTTCTCTATCCCTACATCTTCAAGAAGTGTCCCCCTAAATTCTCGGAAGAAATTGACACTGCCAACCATTCAGAAGGAAATATTCAACTAATATATGCATGTAGCTCCTTAGAAAAATTGTTACATATATCTCTCATCTGTATAATTCACAAAACGTTTTGAAATAAAATTCTTAATTAAACTTTGAGTCTAAAACCATGGATTTAATCTATTATTCTTCATATTTTTTATTAACTACTAAGATTTCTATAAACATAATACGAAAAGCATAAAAAATACTGTTTCATATGTTTGGAGCACTTCTTTCCTTGCCTAGCCAAAACAAAGTGAAATAATTGGCTGCCGAAGACAGCTTGGTAAATATAACTTCAGGGTGGGATGGCTTCTGGACTAGTTATTAGTTATTTTGTTGCGCTTTACTTAAAAGCTTGAGTGATTGTATTTCTAAACAGCTTCTGCATAACATTTTGTGGCTCATTTTTTGTTACCAAAACCAATTTTCATCGTGGAAGCCCATAATAATGTAGACTTCACACAATACAGATACCACATGTAGCTTGCTGTGTGTGTTTATGTATAAATAATTCGTAATACTATAGTAAATCTACCACTAAAGTAGAAAAATGTGTTTTGATTGCTATTATGTGTGTAATGTTAGAATAAAAGCAATATGCTAGCATGTGAGTCAAGACCTAGGCAGAAATTATATCAACACACTATACTGCAATTATTTGCATAAAATGTTTTTTCTTCCCTACTGCTTAACCTTTGCTTTAGAACACAGCTTTTTCTGTATGATATCGATCATTATCACCAGCAGCTGTTGTGACATCATAGTATCTGACATCAGCGGAGGATGAAGTAAAAAATTTCAAATGAACTATTAAAAGCCAAATTTTCACATACATTAAGTTCCTTTCATAAATTTGTCAGGGAGTGGCTTTGAAGACTTCACAGGGATTCTAGGCTATAATTCTTGTGCATCTTAAACTTGTCTATGACATGCGCTAGGAAAGCGTGGGCGAGCAGGAATGTGAATTTTGTTCTTTGTAACTTATTGTTAAGCAATCATGTTTATTTTTGAAAGATATAAGCTGGAAGAAAGCTGTGGGTTTGTAAAATATGAATTTCATTTACTGTTTACTCAAAAGAATTACTTATACTGTATATTTTAACAAAACCACACCAATTATAAGCACTTAATAACATGTCACATTATCTTCTAGTGAAGTACAAGATGCCTTTCTTAAAAAATGCAATATAATCAAACATGGCTGTTTCTTGTGGCTTAAAATAAAAAACTAGATTTGACTCCAAAACAGCGTGCGTTCTCACTGCCTCACTCTCAGCTTTTAGTTACTTGTAGACCATTTGGCTGAGTTAGGCTGAGGATCTGGATTTGGTTCTTCCATTTATCATCAGCACTAACTTTATGGAAATGCAAAGTAGGTGATGGCCTGTTCCAAAATCTGGGACAAGCAAGTAGGCCACACTTGGAATATTCATTATTCACCAGTAATAATGACTGCTTTTTAAAATTGTCACAAGGATATTAGTATATTATTGGGAAGTTAGGAAATGAACGGGAAGGGACGCAAAAAGTATTCCTGCTTAACAAGAGAGGAAGAGACTAAAGCCTGTCCACTTCTGTAGCCGAGTGGGCCGTCACTAGTGTCTGCCAACAGTACTGCCGGGTTTTTTGGCATAAACCTCATACAGCGCTTTGCAGGCAGCCCTGCTGCCACACAGGATGTTCCCCTCTTGAGACATGTGAACAGCTTCTGTCAGCCTGTGAGGACGGCGGTTATAACCCCTTCTACCTATTTTGATGTGTATTCCATGCAACCTACCAACACTTCTGATTATGGAATTACATTGAAAATATATTATAATGAAAACTGGAAATATATGATAATGTAAACCATTGAAAATGCACGCAGGATAACATTCCTACCCTTTAACTCTCTCTGGGAAGTTTGACAAAATAAATCTACAGAATCTAAAGACTGTAACTCTGTATTTATATGTTCGGGAAATGCCAAGAATTGGAGGTGTAACGTTCATGAATCAACTAATATGTATCATCGGTATAACTAGTGCAAAAAGGTGAGTAAACTCAATTGTTCTGATAGAATTCTTCCTTCATAAACGATATTAACAGAAACAAGTCTGTCCACAGGCTAAAAAGTAGCATTACCAGTTGAAACGTTCTCTAAATTCACTAGTCAGTTCTTGATCATCAATGAAATAATGAGAAAGAAAATAGCCAAAAATGCTTCTAGTACTTCATAAATATCAAACTGGTATTTTAAAATGGTCCACCTTACATTGGATAACCATCACAAAACACGTGCTAAATGAGGTATGAATGCTCTGTTGGTCAGTAAGAGTTATGTTGCCACAACTGAAAATATTTCCTGTTGGAAGTTGTGCATGACAAAACTGTGTATCTATTTTTTAAAAATAGCAACATGAAATTATGATAAATATCTCACTGGCCATTCTTCAGAATGAAACTATTTATATCCAGGAAGGAAGGAATCAGATATGGCATCGCCACAAACACAGGGAGTTCCTGATTTTATGGCTCCGATAGAGCTGCCTCGAGCAAGCACCAGATCAGACAGGAGCATATGGGCTCCATGTGGCTGCTTGCAAAGCACGGTGGTTTCTTGGGCTCTGTGTGCGTTCCTGGGGACTAAGTCTGGGACAGTTCCTCAAAATCTTCCTTACAGAGGAGTAACCTCCTTCCTCTCAAGAAACAGGAGGGGAAAAACTCTGTGGGAGAAATAATATTGGAGAAATTCCTCACTGATTTCCTTTTCCTTAGTCTTTGTAGGTGGGTTTTATCATAAGAGAGCATGTTCTGGCCCTTTCTATATTTTTGTGAAAAACTGGCATCACAAACTGCTGTTGTGATCACTCTGCCACAAAGCTGAAGCCTAGTCCTTTCACTGGCACACGTTTCTGGGAATACAACATACCTAACAATTTCGGCCCTAATGAAGGCAGACGCATTTCAGGTAGGAAAATTTCACATGCAAGCAGACCAATGGAGTCCTAGATAAATGCCAGTCCTAGTCAGTGCTTTCATCCTCGGCTTTATGCTGCTTCTTATATTCACAATATAATGACAGGAGAGACAGGTAGCAAAACCTACCATTAAGGTTGCCTGACATTTCCCACAGCCGAGGAAGCCAGCTGCTGAGCCCTGCAGCTGACTGGGATCGTCCACTCCAGTAACTAGAGTATTGAGCCTGACCAAGCTAAGGAGGACTGGCCATGTCTCCCCATGAGTGGACATCCGAGGTAGTGACGTGTACCTGACTGCTGAAGGCATAGATTGTATTTTTTTTCATCCTGTCTCGATCTTGCTTTTTGTTATGCAATGTTATGTAAATAAAATGTGAGTAAATTCAGGGTTTCATCCTCCAGGCTAAGCAGTGGCATTATGGTAGGAATCCAAGGTGAGATGAGTTTCTTGTGTTTTCTTCTTTACTGTTTAAAGGGTGCTGAAGTAAATGTGACTTCCATTTCACTAAGTTCTAAAAACCTTTTTTTTTTTTCTAGACTGTAACTCCAACAAATGGCAGTAGATGAGCAGGCATAGCCAAATAGTAGACTACATTCATGTCAGCTGGTCTTGTCGATGCTGCTATGAGGATGAACTTCTGTTCAGACACTGTACTAGCCTGTGTTGTTAATTCATTATTCCATGCCTGCCTCCACATTCACTTCCCAGCATAGAGAAATTCACACAGACATGCAAACACTGCAATAACTTTGTCTTCAAATACTTCCTCAAATGTTCTTTGCAATGGCGCCCACCAAAAATTTAACAATGGCTGAGCTGCTGGTAAACTCAGATTAGGGCTTATCTCGCTGACCTGTGCAGTCTCCTTGAACTCCCCTGGCGCTGTAGCCAGTTGTTTCTTGTCTTCGGCTTAGATTGTAGTTATCTGTCGTGTGGATCATCTTTTTCTCTCTTTGCTTAGTGCCTGACACAACAAAATTCTTGTCTGTAAGTAGAGCTCCTACATGCTTCTAATAATAATGATAATAATAAATACGATTGTCTGGGGATGAATTAAGACCATGCGATAAAGGGAACGGATTCAAGTTGTTTACTAAAACGATCTGTTTTCCAAGAACCCTCATCTCCTTTGTTTCAGCAACTGGAAAGTAGGAGATGAAGGAAGAGAAATGAGATTTAAAGCACTTAACTTATTCCCTGGAGCAATATGATTTATTCATGTCTTTGTCATAGAATGTTTTTGACATGCAATGGTAAATGACTTACACCTGGCTTTTCCACTGGTAGCCCTTAATACCGCATTTCTCCTTTTTGGGGATCCTGACTTCGGCAATTTGAGCCTATATCTTTTAAATACAGGATGTGTGCGGCTAAATTTAGAAGTTGTTCTTTGAACCTAGCTGCACTATGTAATAGTTTGAAAGCTATTGTCTCAAACTGGTCACTCGAAATTAATGAAATTAATGTTTAATTTACTCTTGCTAGGTGAGAGCTCCCATAGGGAAAATTCAGGTGACTCAATCCTCTAATTCCCAGAGCTGCTTAAAGATAGACAAGTACATGTAGAACTGTTCCCATATTGCTTCGAGGGCCATATTAAAGCTGAGGAAGCAATGTCATAATTCTCTCTTCAGAGGAAAAAAATTCAGTAGTGTTCCACATGTGGCCCCAAGCACTGCACAATGAAGAGACAACCACATCTTGCTGTTCGCTCAGAAGAAATGATCTGTCTTTTACATAAACAATCAAATTAGCAAATGGTCCAAATCCAGCATTCCAGCACCCTGAAGGAGCAGGTCATCCTGTGCAGCAGCAGAGCTCAGGGGCTGGCCCGCCACGAACATTTAGTGTGCCTACGCTCCAGGGGAACTCGCTGGACAAGATTCTGCTTTTCAATACACTTTTGTTACTGCACTGTTTATCCTAG